ACTCTGCCCTCTACATCACTTCCTTTAGCTGACTTTAATCTGCATCTTTTTTCTGTAATAAATTTTAACTGTGAAATCTGTGAGTCTAACAAATTATCAAAACTAATGATGGTTTAGAAAACTTGTTAAATTTGCAGCTGGTGTCAGAGGTAAAGACAATCTTGTGTGAAAACAGTACCCTATAACTACATTTAACCTCAAACTCCGTGTGGCCTCAAATAACAAAATGTCTTAACAACTTACATAGGGAAGAAAATATAACTCTAGCTTTGAAAGCATCCAGGCAGGCTTTGACATCAGCTTTTCATTTGAATGAGATTTGTATCTAAAGAAAATCATTATGTTGATATTGCTGTGGGCAGCCCAGAGATATTGAAAATTAATCACCCTCCCATACTTCTATATAAAAAATTCTAAGGAAAATAAAAAATTATAAAAAATATGTCGTAATGAATTAGAGAAAAACTATTTGCCTACCATATATGCTTTTTATGTATTTTGTCCATGTCCTAGTTAGATCATTCCTTTTTGATCATTTACTTTTTAGTTATTGAATTTTTTTTGTTCTTTATATATTTCAGTCCTTCACTGGAAATATGATTTGTAAATATTACCTATGGGTCAGTAGCTTGTCTTTTGATTTGCTTTATTTTTTTAAAAAAAAGAATGCTTTTATTGATTTTAGACAGAGAGGAAGTGAGAGGGAGAGTAAGAAAAATCCATGAGGAAACATCAATCAGCTGTCTCTTGCATGCCCTGATTGAGAATGGAACTGGTGACCTTTCGGAGCATTGGACAACACTCAATCAAAGCTTTATTTTCTTAACAGATCTTTTGCAAAGCAATTATTTTTAATTTTGATGAGCTGTGACTTTCTCATATTTTAAAAAAGTGTAATGCTCTTTAGCATAATATGTACAAACACCTCAACAAGTCCAAATCCTAAAATAATTTTGCTTGCATCTTCTTCTAAGTTAGTTTATTTGACCTATTTAATATTCAAAAGTATATGAGAATACAAAATATGGAGTATAAAGTGTACATTTTGATTACAAGTGTTAGGTTTAAATCTATACTTTTTTTGCTTATGAACATTCAATTGTTCTAGTACTGTTTCCTGAAGACAAAAAAAAAACACCCTATCTTCCACAAAATTGATTTGTCTTTGTAATTAGTTAGACATATATAAGCAAGTCTATTTCTGAGTTCTCTAATTCTCTTTCACTAATCTACCCTCCATTCACTGGCCATTATTGCTGAGCTACTACGTTTTCAAATCAAGTAAACCAATTCTTGCTACTTACTTTTTTGTATAAAATGGTTGTAGCTATCTAGTTATATTCTCTTTCCAAATAAATTATAAAATGATTTTATCTCTACCAACAAAACCCTAACTAGAATTTTGATAGGTTATTGCATATACATTAATTTGAGCAGAATTAGCCTCTTTACTATGTTGAGTTTTCCAATCTATGAACACAGTATCTCTATTTAGGTCTTAGACTTCTTTCAGAGCTGTGTAATATTCACAGAATAAGTTCTCTATGTGTTTTATGTATAAGTATTTCATCTTTTTAAGAGACTTATATAGAGTATATAAAATGTTGGTATGTATACATTCATTGCTAGTATAAAAGAAGTGCAATTAATTTTCGTACATTGACCTGGTACCCTACAATCCTGGTAAACTTAAGATTGTAGTAGGTACCTTAGGAATTTCTATGTATAGGGTGTCCCAAAATTCATGCAAGATTTGAATATTGCGTTAGCATTAACAACAACAACAAAAATAAATAAAAGCCTAATTTTACTTGGCTTATTGAATCAGATTCTAATATCTGTTGCCCTTTGATTTCAATCCCTTCAATTTGATAAGCATTACCAAGTACCAATTATGGCCCAGGAGCAGGGACAATGAACCCCAATTAAGACCACAGCTTTGCGTATGTGTCAGCAAAGCCGTGGAGGCCATTTACCCGATGTGCTATTCCATACATAACGCTATACTGTATACTTTATGAATCAATAAAAAATTTACAATTTTTAATTATAAACCTGTGTTTTCTATCAAAATTACTTCTTGCATGAATTTTGGGACACCCTATAGATAATTATGCCATCTGTAGAGGAAGATAGTTTCTCTTTCCAATTTGGAAAGACGACCTTTTCCTGCCTACAGCAGAAGTTCTAATGGGTAAAGAAGATATTCTTGCCTTTTTCCTGAACTAAAAGCATTCATTCTTTCATCAGTTGATGTTAGGTGAAGGTTTGCTTATCAAGGTGAAAAAATTCACTTGTATTCCTAATTATCACAGTGGGTTTCCCCATTAATTTATATAAATATGCATTATTTCCTTAGCCTGTCTATAGGAGAACAAAAATGAATGATGTGAAAATACTAAATGTGTACACAGAAAGGCTGACTACATTTAAAAACTGATATACTTGAACCCCTGAATTCCCCTACCCCCATGGACTAAAGAATGTGCAGAGGTTTCAAATTAATCACAAACTTCTGGGGGAAGGTACCCGTAGTGTTCTACCATGGAGTAAGAGCCATGGGTATGTGGTCTTCCTGGTCCTCTTTATTATCCTTGCATTCTTTTCTAAATACATAGGTTTTAGAGGGATGTACAACACATGGTCTGTGATTTGGAAGGAGTAGGGGATCCATTTTGTCTTGTTGCCTCCCAGGACTGCATTTCTGTAATTAAATTCCCTATTAAGACCCTTTAAACCAACAAGCTGAATTTATCTGCATCATTCCTTGGCTTCTCGACTTCATTGACATTTGGATGCTACTTTGTATTTTATATTCCACTAAAGGCCCGATGCACGAAATTCATGCACAGGGGGTCCCTCAGCCCGGCCTGCGTCCTCTTGCAATCCAGAACCCCTCGGGGGATGTTGGGCCTATACTGGCAGTCGGACGTCCCTCTCGCAATACAGGGCACGGCATGCACCAGTGACCATGCTTTTCATCTTGCTGTTTTATGGGCAGCCACTTTTTTTTTGCCCTGATTTTTAAAAAGTAGTACATAACATAATTCTTCTGAGGCAGTAGTACCATTTTCCCCATCTTGTGGATGGAAAAACTGAAGCAGAGAGAAGTTAAGTAATTGGCTTTGTCACACAGTTATAAGTGTCAGAATCAGGGTTGACCACAAAATGTGCAAGCCAGAGTCCATGCATGTCATCATTACAGCATCCTGTTTTTTCAGTGTTGGTGTAGCCTTACCAGGTTTTAATTTTTAAATCTAAGAGACTGTTCCCAATATATAGGGTGGGTCCCTAGGCCTGGCCTACAATCAGGGCCATCTGTGGGATGACTGGCGGGTGGGGTGATTGGGTGGCCCCCACTGGTACCCGCCTTGGCTGGCAGCCTGGCACTGCCTGCTGGCCAGCCCCACCCTCCCATCGCCATCGCTGGTCACCTCCCTCTGGAGATGGGTGGGGGGGAGGGGGAAGGGAGTGCAGAAGTTCAACGCAGGAGCTGCCTCCGAGCATCTGCGACATAGCCACCGACACAGCAACCAGCCATTCCACCGCTTGGTCAATTTGAATATAAGGGTTTTATTATATAGGATTTGATATTGTCAGGGTACATGCATACAGAGCCCTTTCATGAAACACTAAATCAGTCTTATCAGCCTTGTTGTATCCCTATAATAAATCCCCATTTGTTCATTATATATGTATCTTTTAGAAATTGTTAAATTCTATTTGCTAACATTTTGTAAGACATATTCATTAAAGATACTAGGCTCTAGTTTCTATTTTTTTTTTAAATGTTCGCTTTTGCTATTAAGGTTATACTTACTTTAGAAGATGAGCTGTTAACTGCTCTCTCCTTTTCTATTGTGTCCAATCCATGTTAATTCTTAATGTTTACTAGTAGTCTCCATTGAAACCATCTGGGACTAGAGATTTCTTTATCCAAAGTTTTTAAAAGACAAATTCAATTTCTTTAATAGCTGCAGGGCTACTTAAATTATGTAATTCATATTGGGTTAGTTGCGGTAGTACGTATTTTTTGAGGAATTAGTCAGTGCATTTATCTATGCTATTTACGTGTGTAGTATTCCTATAGTCCGTTTAATATTGACTGGGTATATGCTACCTTTGCAATTCCTGTGAGTCTATAATAATTTCAAATTAGAAATGAAAAAATGTAGAGCAGAGTTGTTGGAAAATGAAAAGAATATTATATATGCAAAGATTTATAAATTTAGGTATAAGATACTTAAAATAAAAAATTACTATGCATCACCATATGAATATATAAATTGTAATTTTAGTTTTTAAGCCTTTAAAATTTATAGAAAATAAAGTAGCTGAAAATGTTTTAGATATGCTTTCCTGGGAGTAAAATTGTGATCATTTCAAATAAATTAGATTGCTTTAGGGGGGAAAAAAAACACAAAACTGTATTATCAGAATGGGAACTGTCATGTAAAAGAAAGAATTTGCAGAAAAATATCTAGCATCTTGAAAAACTAGTGGAAATGCCAACCTAATGCATAGAAGGCAGCACTTAAAAATAAACAAACACAAGACACTGTGTACTCAGTCACCATTTTGAAAAATTGTATGTTCATATGCTCATGCTTTAAACTTTCCTTGGGTAATCTAAACACCCACATACGTCACTTAGTGTATGTCAGTGTCCTCTTATCAAGAGTCAAGACATGCAATGACATTCCAAAATCCAAAGTGTTAAAAAAGAATTAAGAATGTCTTTACTCTTTTCCTAAGAAACAAGAAACAGCAATGTTGCAAACAAAAGAAAACTACCAAATATAATGATTTCATTCTGACATACGGTCATTCTTTAGAACAGCGGTTCTCAACCTGTGGGTCGCGACCCTGTTGACAATCGAACGACCCTTTCACAGGGGTCGCCTAAGACCACCCTGCATATCAGATATTTACATTACGATTCATAACAGTAGCAACATTACAGTTATGAAGTAGCAACGAAAATAATTTTATGGTTGGGTCACAACATGAGGAACTGTATTTAAAGGGCCAGAAGGTTGAGAACCACTGCTTTAGAGAATTTGTACATCTGTATTTCAGCTTAGGTTTAAATAATTGGTATATAAACTAATCTTTATTATACATATAATAATATAAATACTTATAAAAGCTATTAAGCAACTATTGTAAATTAAACTTCTTAGCTAGAAAATGTTTTTCAAAGTTTCTTACCCACATTTTGGCAAAGATGCAAGCCCAAGTTTAAAATCTCTATTAAATAGTTCAATAAGCACAAGACAAAAAAAAGTGTTTAGCATAAAAATAATCACCTGACTAATTTGAAGTTTCCTTTGGTCCCTGGAATGTCTGTAGGAAACTCATCAGGTGTACTACTTCCACCTTTACCCAAGGAAAGTTTATAGCATTCTGGCCGAGGACAACTTGCATCATCAAATTTATAAATCTAAAAGTTGCCATGAAAAGACTGGTTTTATCATCTGCATCCTTGACAATTAAAGTAAAATAGTTTCTCTTTCCATAGTATATTATGTACCTTGGCATTAGCGTACCCAAGTTTGATTGTAATATTTCTTTCCAATTCATTTTTAAATCTGACAGTGTGAACTCCAGAAATAGATTTGACAACTGTAGATTTTCCATGAGCAACATGACCAATTGTACCTACAAAGAACAACAAATGCATCCAATTACACCAAGTATTTCAGTATAGTTAGAAACAAACAAAGCTATAACACACTAAATATTGCAATTGTCACCAGGTTATCATTTAGTAGAATGGATTGTTCCCAAATATCTAAACTATGTCACAAGCCTGTTTGCTTAAGGAACTAAAGCAAACTGCTAATGGTTAACCACAGCATCTGCAGACAGCTCAAGCAAAGAGAGACCAGCTTGCTTGGAATTGCACCATCCTCCAATCCCCACCTCTAGAGAACTTGTCTACATTAACATACTAAAAATCATACCCAGGCAAAAGAAATGTGCATTGCTAGCCACAATTTGTACTTTGTGCCAAGGTGCTGGCAAGAGTGTGTATTCCCCAATACTTCCATAAAGTGGCTGTCTCTTTATAAGAACTTCCCACCTGTCAATCCCATTTACACAACTAGCAGCTTTAAAATTTTCCCAAACTCTAACCAAGGACACAAGGTGCTTTTAGAGCATGAGATCACCTTTTCCCATTTGTTGATCGAAGAATAAAGTTTCTTCTCTGCATTAGTTTTGTACTATGGGCACAAGTGGACCTGGGCAAAAGGACCTTGTTTTGGGACCCCAACATGGAAGGGTGGGTAACAATCTATAACCTATAATGATGTTATTTTTCCCTGTCACAAACCCTTTTCTATGCAGTCTTTCTGAAACACAATTTCAGATAACTTTGCCATGTACATGACTACCTTATAAAAAAACATAAATTCTATGTCACCTCCAAGCTAGTAGATCACCCCAAACTAAACTTAAAAAGTTACTAAAATTTCTATGAATTACACTGGTAAACCTATGTTCCAGAGATTGGGCCTTCAGACAGCCACCTGCAACACCAATGAATAAAGACAAAAGAAAATTGACTCAAAAGGTTAAGATGAAAAACAACCTGTTGCCGTAACCGGTTTGGCTCAGTGGAAAGAGAGTCGGCCTGCGGACTGAAGGGTCCCAGGTTTGATTCCGGTCAAGGGAAAGTTCCTTGGTTGCAGGCACATCCCCAGTAGGGGGTGTGCAGGAGGCATCTGATCGATGTTTCTCTCTCATCGATGTTTCTAACTCTCTATCCCTCTTCCTTCCTCTCTGTAAAAAATCAATAAAATATATATTAAAAAAAAAAAACCTGTTACTGTGCATATGCCAACTTGATGCTGGATTCCATATGCTATAACAAAATTTTCACCATGAATATACATAAGCTTTCTAAGAACAAAAGCTCCCAAGATCTGGTTCCTTGCTCACCAAGAAATGAACCAAAGTTCATTTAGGTAACATGTTACTAAACTTGCTGTTAACCTCAAAAAAATCACCTTCCCATGAATAAATACTAACTGAAAAATACAAAACATTTTTTACATTAAGAAATCTTCCAGTATTTTGAGTAAGGTAAATATGTACATAAATCTGATACAAAAAAGAAAAAGGAAATCCATGAAAATGATGAAATAATGCCAGTTTAATTACAGGTAACAAAATACTTTAACAGTAGTATATATGATTTACTATTACAATTTTTTTAACTTAGGTTCTATTGTTTGTAGAGACCTTAAAATAATGTCTAAAGTTTACATTCAATTAACTAACTTCTTTTCCAAATTACAAAGGTGCCTATTAAGAAAAGCATTTACTTAATATAAGTTTATGTATCAAATAAGAGTTTTACAATCCCTGTTCTTAGGATAATTCTGTGCATGCACACCTGAAACTAAAACAAAATATTGAATATGAACTGTAGTAATGAAAAATAAAAAATAATAATCTTGTGCAACACCTCATCCTTAAACTTCTGCTACATGTGCACACAGCATACTGCCTTTTCATAAATCTGTGCCTTTGCATCACGCATACTTCCATAAGAAAAGAATGGAACACAATGTTTGTGTTTCCAAAAAAAAACCTAGCAGGTGCTCATCAATGCTCAAATCTATTTGTTATATGTGTCCTCCTATAATTCTGTTTATGGCACAAGAGATTAAAATTCATTGTTGGAGAGTAGCCAAGTCAGGCTTCCAAAACAATACTACTACTCTATGCAATCATTTGTTCTTACCTATGTTAATTGTGGCTTGTCTGCTGATAACTTCCTTTGAGAGTGGAGTCAACTTGGTAACATCCTGCAATAAAATGTTTTATATTAAAGTACCGCAGGCAGAAGAAACCAGGACTCTGATTTCAGGTTTAGTATATACATCTCGTCACCATGTATTCAGCTCTTTAGTTTTTACAAAAAAGCATGTTTTGTGTATAAGCAGTGTTTATTCCAGAGACAATCACTGGACTAATCAGTCCTAAATGGCCCTTTACATTTGCAAAAGATACGATTACTACCGCTTCTATTCACTGTAGGAGATCTGGAAGGTGTAGGCCCGAAATTTCAGAATTAGCACGAGGAGAGTGTAAAATATTCCCTCCACAGATCTTTAAAAATGCAAACCTTAATATGTTTAACTGATGCTAAGCACATTTAACACCATAACTTTCCTGCAAATCCTCGAGGAGCTCCAGATCCTACGATCTCACACCCAATGCCAAACTCGCAGACAGCACTACAATGCCTCGTCTCAGAGCCCTCCCCAAACCTCTCCCCTCACCCCCGGAGGCCCCGAGTACACCCCGCCTTTTCCCAGAGAAAAAACTTACCAAGTTGGTGAGATCCTGACGAGAAAGATGCGGCTGCCGCAGAGTCACACTAGCTTCATCCCCCGCCATCTTGCCCAGAGAGGAAGGGAGTCTCTCTGGATGCTGCCTGACTGTTCGCAGGTCCCCCTAGTGCAGAGAGAAGTGGAAGGCAAAAAAGCGAAAGGAAGATGACCCGAACCGCAGAGCCTCACTGCTTGAATTTCTTTGGCTTGGGTTTGTTTAGTACTTCCCGGATGGCTTACTACAAAATAGGAGACAAAGTTTCGGAATCTGTTGCCACAGACATGTTAGTTATTTGTACAGGCAACATAAGGGCGGCTCCACAAAAGGCACCTTACT